CAAAAATATCTAAAATTATTGTGCGTAATTTGTAATTTGGAGTAGTATTCACATTTGTACCTGATGGATTTACCCCCGTCAAAATTAGTCAACTTCATCACCGTCTTGCAGTCCTTTCTTTCCATTTAGAACGTCTTGTATTTTTTAAAATGTTATCAATGCGTTCTGTTTTTCCCATTAGTATCAGTGCAAGACGGTGTAAAATGATTTCTCACTCCTTCATAAGACAACACATTGACCTCCGTCTTGCAGTCCGTTATCCCTCCACAGGACGTCTTGCATCAGTATCCAGTGGCTATTCTACATTCAAGCTTTAATCTAAATCAATAATGAAGTGGTGTGAAATGATATTTCACCCCTCTGAAAAATTGACAATTTCTATCCAATATAACAACCCCAAAACCTCCATGAAAACGTCTTGCATGTGTTGATCCAATTTTGTTTGTGTACAAAATAACTCAATAAATAAATGCAAGACGGTGTATAATTATATATTTTCCCTGTTTATGACGACATTTTCTGGAAATTTTTTTTCAGCGAAATCCCCCACTCCCATCTATTTCCCCGTACAGGTGCGTTTCAGCATCATGTTATCTAACTGATGATAACAATGCAAGACGGTGTAAAATGATTTGATGAAATAGGCCTCGTATCCCGTACTACAACGTCTCATATAAATTGTTTCGAGGCTACCACCAAGCTCTTGTTCCACACAGGGGATGACCAGGGACTACAGGATGGTCTAATTATGTTATCTTCTAACATTTTCTTTATTTGAGAATTTACTTCTTGTTTATGCACATGAGGATATCTATAATACGTTTTCGTGTGCACTGGTATTTCATCTGTTGTTTTAATTTCGTGTTTGACTTGATTGGTGAATGTCGATTTTTCATTTGGCTTGAGGAAAATTTTAGGAAAAGATTTAATACGTGTTTTAAAGCGTCGAATTCCTCTGAGTTTAAATTATTAATACGTAGCGACTTTATAGGGTCATTTGCATATTCATCATTTTCTAATGAAATCATTTGTTCTATATCAAATATCTCAAACTGTTCATCAGTATAAGGTAATAAGGTAAACTTATTTCCGCTAAGTTGTTTATGTTATACGGGACAATAATAGGCTTATTCATTAAGTTGTGTACTTCTAAAGGCACCATCTCATTAATGACTGTGGCTATTGTCGAAGGAATATAATACGTTTCATTTTTTATCGGTGGTGTAAGTATTTCAATGCCATCAGCTATATTTGTATTGAAATAACATACTTGAATTGAGTTGCTTGGAATCTCAAATTTTTGATTTTCGAAATCTGTTCTATATTGAAACGGAATTGTTGTTTTATTATTAGAAAGAAGGATATTAGAAAAATCTATATTTAAATTATTTTTTCTCCAAACGTCAAAAAAACGTCACTTTGTTAACCCCTGTCAAGATGTCAGAAATTTGATTTCTATGCTGCCAGGCAAATCCAGCGGGTTAACACCTGTCGAGGTGGTAGAAGTTCAATTTCTATGCTGCTTGGCAATACCAGCGGCAGCAAAAGTACTTTTAGTGCCGCTCGTACTTTTACTGCCGCTCAACCATTCACTTGCCCCCGAGCTTACCCCATTAGTTTGGAGAAAAAATAGCGTGTTGCATACGGAGTAGAAGCACTTTTTTGTGCTTCAGCAGTATTGCAAGCCTGACTACGTTCGGCTCGCAAACCTACTGCTTTAGCACAAAAAAGTAAAGCTTCTACTCCTAAGACAACAATATACTATTCTTGTAATGTTTTGATTCCAATAATTCCATCAAAATAGTCATGGAAATTGTTTTGAATATTATATTCTTGTAAAATTGGGAATTGGGACATTGATTTTTCCTTGCGTTTTTCTTGTTCCCATGCAAGTAGTTAACTTGTTTCGTGAATTAATTATAGAATTTGAAAAATATTCCTCTGCGATTGAGGGTCTTATTAAAGAGGCATGACTTCCTGTGTTGATAAATAATTTACACGGTGGATAGTCTATTTGAATAAAAGGCAGTTGGTTGATTTGATAAGCATTTAAAGTTAATGCTGACTCATTGATTCCAAGGCTTGTAACTGAAAATTTTCGTCTTCAGTTTCGACTTGATTTTCTTCAAAATTTGTCTCTTCATAATAATTTTGATTCTCGGAACATTCTTCAGTTTCGAAATTTTCGTCAGGGTCAGGTAATTCGATTTCAAAGATATTATTAATTTCTTCGATTGTATATTTGGAAGGGTATTGATGTTGATTTCGTGCTCGTGGTTGCACTGAAACTACGGACATAGGTGTCGGTTTCGAAAATTGTTGATTAGTGTTTTTTCGAAAGGCATTATTGTAATTTTTGCCAAAAGTTCCTGAACTAGTAGGAAATTTTGTTGGTACATAGTCCTTTTTAGGCGTTATATTAATAGGTTGGGATAGAAACTGTGGTTTCTGCGGTACATAGGATTTTTTTGTGTATATTGAGGTTTTTGTTGAGTATAGGTTTGTTGTGAACGAAATTGCGTATTTTTATTTTTGAAATTTGAAAAAATTTCATTTTGATTAGTAGAATGATTAGGTCCTCTACTGAATTTCATGTGGTTTTCGGCTAGTTGATAATTTAACACAAATTTGTTAGCTGCATCCAACGTTTGTGGATTTTGAACCATTAAAATTGTTCTTAATTCGGTTGGCGAATTAGTGACTAGATTTTGAATAGCAATATGTAATTTAGTTTTGTTCATTCAAGATATTTGCAAATACCATTAAATTTGGGTCGCACATGATTTTAGATTTAATCCCTTGAACTAAATTTTTTAGTTTATCCAAATACTCAATAATTGTTTCTTTATTAGTTTTAGTGGTATACATAAGCTCTTGTATCAAATTCTGTGTAGCTAGAATATTGATCACCATATTTAATTCTTAACGCTTCTCTTATATCGGTCCATGTTTCTTAATCAAGACGTGCCATAAGAAAATTTCCAGCGTCATTTATTAATTTTGATTTTATGGCGGTAACCACATACTCTTTCTGGGCATTTTCACCAGTATAGAAGGTTTGGTAAAATTCATTTATGTTTCTTATAGAACATTCTAAATATTGGCCTTCGCCACTGAAAGGTTTGATCAGGTGTACAATTGATTTTAAATTTTCACTCATTATTACGGTTCGTCTTTGATTTTGGTTGTTACTTCTTGAATTGTAAGATGAGTTAAATTAAATTGAGTCAAGAGATTCTCGATTTCTTCTTCAAAATCTGACATATATACATATTTCTTTGAATTGTTAAAATAATTTATTTTGAAAATTTAAAAATTCAAAATTAAAAAGTTTAATTTTTTACTTTAAAATTAAAATTATAATTAATTAGTCAATCACTTAACCGCATAAGACTGATTGCTTTTTCTTAAAATTATTTGTTGTCGTGGGTTCGTAAATTCTTAGTAACTATTTATTTTTGATTTCAGTCTTTTCAGCAAACTTTTTTTTTTTGGAATTGCAAAAGAACAAAAATCTGAATTTAAGTCTTCTCAGTAAATCAAAAATTAGAAATTACAAAAGATCAAAAATCCAAAAATCTTAACTATGGAACACCAATTACAAAATGTATGAAGAGAAAGGATGTACTTACTAGGCACGATGCTAATAACAGTAGTCTTTCTTTACCCGTTGTTTCTTGTTATTCCTATTACTCAGTTAACCAATTCGAAGTGGACAGTATCCAAGTTCCACTTGCCCGAAGAATTCACTTTTTCGAACTTCCTTCAGTCTTTTGAAGTTTTCGCGACGGATTACGACTGTATCAACTCTCTCGAAACTTAAGCACTCTGAGCATCCGAACGACTGCGCCAATTATATTTTCGATTCAGAAACTTATATTTTAAAAAACATTTATTTTATTGATTAAAATACAGAGGTGACAAAGGAAAATATGTGGATCAAATTGCTACAGCAACAGCCTGAAAACAAATGAACGTTCCTTATGGGACTGCGCTGGCTTAAATAAGAATTTAATGCCGATATAGCAATTTGATATTTACTTTACTTACAACAATGTATTTAAAAAGTCATAGAGGAAAGGGGTAAGCACATAAAAAATGGATATTTGATTATAAATCAGCATGGCAATTGGTTAATATAACTTACCTACAATATTACAAATTACAAAGAATTTTATAATAATATGGTAACAATCGAAAATCTAAAAGACCAGTGGTGTTCTATGATTATTGTTGTTCACAAATTCCCCACAAACTATTTCACCTGAAAAAAGTGCGCGCCTTTCAACTTATAATTTCAGCTATTCATTAATATAAATAGAATTGATCATGCGATTCAGAGGTATTTCTATCAGAAACAGATTCGTTACAATAGAAGACTTCTAGCTATGTCTATTGTTGCAAAAGAGGCCCGAAAGTTATTTAGAAAAAGCTAACTTTTCTAAGATTTGGCATTTTGCCTAATCCAAGACGAAAATAATACCATAGGCAAATAAAAATTTCACTTTTACGTTTACCCCTCTACACAAGAGTGCGGCCAGATTTGAAATCCAATGTTTTGTTTATGGACCTGGAATAAAGATTTTATTTTTCAGCAGGAGCTAAATATGCTCCATTGACGATGGGTATGATCATTGCGGAACATTAAAACTTTCTTTGTTGAGAAACTGTAGAATTTGATAAGTAATCAGATAAAGGCTCTCTCTCACACTTATGAAAATAATTATTTCTGTTTATGGTGTTCTCCATGAGCTAAGTAGGTAAACAAGCTAATAAGGCATATACCTCACCGATCTAATGGAAAATCCCTCTTACCCAGCTTCTCCTCTAAACAATAATTATACATATGTATGTTTTTATGCCAGTTTAATACTCGATAATTATGATCAGAGTCAACTTGAGGAAGAAACCAAAGAAACTTTTGTTTCGTTATGCGTTTTCAATACATACCACAACAATGATCAAATAATATACCTGTAAGTTATGCCTGGTTTTTTTAGGGTGGAAAATGTTTTATGGCGCATTAAAAACGGCGAATTTGATTTTAACACTAAAATAAAGGCTGTGGTACTATTTGTTGGTACCAACAACACTGATTGTACTCCTCATGAAATTTTCGAAGGCATTTTAGAAATAGTCAAAGAAATCAAGAATATTTTGGGCAACGTTATAATCGTCATACCGGTAAGTATTTTAAATGTATTAGAATAAATTAACTAGAAATTTTCTTTTAGACTCTTCTTCCTCGTGGCCAATTCCCTAACCCTTATAGGGAACGTAACGATCACGTTAACACTTTTCTCGTTGATAAATTTTCTAATGAGGCTAACAAAGACGAACTCACCGAGAACGTGTATGTAGTTAAAATTCATGAACATATTGTTGGCAATGATCAAACAATCAGCCATCATCTTATGCATGATTATTTGCATTTGACCAATAATGGTTATACAAAAATTTTTGGAAAGGTTTATGATGTTTTGTGTAAATTGTTAAAAGGTGAAACTATTGAATAAGCTCTGTAAATATTTATTATGTATCACTGAAGAATCTATTATAATAATTTTTTTTATAGAACATTAGTTTTAATTATGACGGTTCCTTTTCCGAAATAAATCCAATTATCCCGGCATAATAAATTAAGGTCTAAAAATTACCAACAAATAATAGAGAAATCGTCAAAAATCCTGACGTTTTCATATGAAAGTTTGATGAGCCCATTATAGAAAGTTACAAGGACCTTCATTATACTCTTCCCCATGCATTGTCAAATAATTGAGGGCCTTTTATAGGGCAACGCGTAGGTTTATTACTTATTGATTTATTTCAATGTCTTGGATAAATATTGAATTATGGCTATCACAGCGAAGACGATCTGACGTTCTCCAGGATTATTTATTAAAAACGGAAGCCTGAGAAATCGTCTACGGATACCAATACCAAATATTTAATTAAATTAATAAAACAGTATAATAATTATTAAGCTCTAACTAGCGTAAAATCGGAAAATCATTTAGAAAGCATTAAATTTATAATGCATTAGTTTTAACAAGACATCTTTATAAAAATTATCTATTGTTGTTGACCTTAACACTGACTAGATCTTCACATTCAGAGCATAATAGAAGATTTTATTATGCTCTGGTAACTTCAGTAATATTACCCAAGTAATCTCACCAATGAACAACTTTAAATGACAATTTATTTATGGTAACAATCTTAAGTTGCGTTTATAATCGCTAAATTTATTTTTTTCCAAGCAATTACACATTATCTAAAAGATTGTGTTTGTTTTGGGACAAATACAGTATTAGATTCATCAAGTTAACACAATTATTTTCAAAGAATCAAAATGAGGGTTTATTTTTTAATAATTTTCGGTTTAGTTTCAAACAAGTGCCTTAGTGATGGTGATTTTAGAAATTCAAAATTCGTGGATAAATTTATCAATCACCAAAACGAACAGGTACCATTAATAATTTTTGAATATATTTTTTTTTTTCAATAAAATATCTTTCCAGGAAGTCGAAGATAATTTTTATCAAATTCATCATATACCAAATAAGCCACAATTTATTACTAAAAGAAAGGACACTTTTAATTTCCGATTCTTGAATTCGGATGATGAATTTCTTGAATCGGAATTTGGGCAATTTCAAAAACCCGATACTCAGAAACATTTTGAATCGGTTCAAGAAAGTTCCGATTTAGAAAGAAACAATTATCTTTATCCGCAGCATCCACATTTTTACACAGAAACCTATCAGCAACCAGAAGATAATAATAAGGATCCAGGAAAAAATTATGTGTTCCTTCAAAGCCAACAAGTAATGCCAGATACGGAAAATTTTGGTAGTTTTTATATGACTCCTGAAAGTTCTAATGGCAAAAATTTTTCCGAGGATCAAGTAATGGAATCTGGAAACGTGGAAATTGTTACTATTCCTTATAGCTATGTTCAAAAAATTCCATCTCCATCATCAACGTGAGTAGAAATTACAACCCAAAGAAGTTAAAACTACAATATATGTTTTAGAGTTTCTTCGCATGATTCCGATAGATATGAAGAAGTAGACTTACTTCCTGTCAAACAAAACAGGCCAAAAGACACAAAAAAACAAATAAACAATATGATTAAAAAATACTTAGCTAAACTCATAGTAGAAAAATACGGCCTAAGCAAACGAAATAACAACACAAATAAAAACAACAGGAAATACGAAAACAATATCCTCTCGAGCAATCTGACCAACAACAACCTCAAAACCGATCCAGAATCTAAATTTCTTTACACCAACGTCTTGTGGGACCTCAAAAACAAGACAATATCGAAACTCAAACAATTTTTTAATATTTTTACTGTCGTGAAATTCAATAATACCGAATGCAACGCGACAAATTGGGCAGGAACTTGGCAAGGAGTTTGTTTGACTTCCGCGGAATGCACTCAGTGGAACGGTACCGCTTTGGGCACGTGTGCAAGCGGATATGGAGTTTGTTGCGTTTGTGAGTACTTTTTTTTTTGTGTGAATATTTTTGATTCGGTGATGTTTATTTCTTGTTTCAGTTAGAGGCACTTGTGGAGACTCGTCAAGCATGAATTGTTCTTATTTTAAAAGTCCAAATTATCCAGATTATTATCCTTCGAATGGGGGAGTTATTACTCCGACAACTACTGTGGGACCTACTATTTTTCCTACACCTGATCCAAGGTAAGAAATTATACAATTTCAATCCTCATAAGCTATTGAGCAAATATTGTTTTTGTTTGTGAAATATTTTAAGTTTGAGAATTTGTTCATATTTAGGCTATACTGGTACTATAACAATAAAGGCTCTGGAGACGAGAGTTCAGACAATTCAATGATGAGCAGACAAAGTGGGTCTGACACAATGTCTTGTACATTTAGCGTTTTCAAAAGTAATTCCAATGTGCGGCAGTTTAGAATTGATTTTATTGATTTAGATGTAAGTTTATCGTTTTAATAATTAAGTACCCGTTTAATAGTATTTTTTTTTTTTTTTTAGCTGGCCAGCCCTACTAATGGAACGTGTACTAATGAAAGACTCGTCATTACTGGCCAAAATACTAATGATAGGATACCGGTCATATGTGGTTATAATACTGGACAACACGGTTAGGATTGGTATTTTTTGTTTATAAAATTGTTCCACTATTGCTTTGTCGAAAAGTTTCTTTGTTTTCCGAGGTCGTTGTTCCACATTCCTGTTAGGATTACTCGTGATTGCAGGACAGTTGTTCATGTAGGCGGTTGTAGCAGTTGTTCCACTGCTAGGTCCCAGTCTACGGTGTTTCTTATCGTCGTTTTTACGGCCCGCAAATTGTCCTCCAGGTCTGCCTGATAGGCTTACCAGTTTATTCTGCGGAGGTTCCGATACGTTTTAGTTTCAGGACTGTGTCCTGTAATTTCAAAGCTAATGTGTCTGTGATCTGAACAACTCACCTCATTAGTCACGTGCCACTTTTTCACGAAGCCAGTAACAAATGTTGTAGATACCGTGATGTCGAGTACCTCCTTTCTAACAGTTATTATAAAGGTGGATGTATTTCCCACGTTTAATATGTCTAAACCATTTGCCATAAAAAAATTTAATGATAAGTAACCTCCATTGTTGGTGTGCCCCATATAATATGGTGCGCATTCGCATCACATCCCATTATGAGTTGCGATCCTTTTGCTCTGCAACTCATTACCAGGTTCTGTGCTTCCCTGGATGGTGGCTCTCGAGGATCATCTCCTGGAAGGTAGGCAGATCCGAGTACTAGCTCCCTCTGCCCACCCCAAGTTTAATTTTTACCGCAACAAGGTCCCTAAAACAAAATTCCGTTAGCGGTAACATTTTTAACCTTTTTTTTTACTAGTATACAAGCTCTGGGGGTTTCAGTGGATCTGCTATATATTAGCTCTCCATTGACTCCCGACAGGCGGCCAGGCCTGCGATTTTCCCTTTACTTACCCATGTTACCAGTACTTAGCTATAACATGAGGAGAGTGTTCTCACAGCTATCAAACCAATACCAACCTTTACCACGTAAAAACCCCCCTCCAGCACAGCCATCATACCACTACCCACCACCACTGTAAACCCCCTTTCGTGAAGCTCCTACCATGAGGAGGTACTTTTTACCTACCCCCTTTCGTAAAGCCCTCTCTCAAAAGGCTCCTACCCTGAGATGGCACTTTTTTTCATCCCTCCATTTTCTTGAAAACTGAAAAATATTTAAACAAATCTTCCATTTGTATTCGTCAATTTTGAGGTAGGCCCGGGTCAAATCCCCAAAATTTCAGATCGAAGGCCCCGCCGATCTAGAGATTTTTCCACGGTATTGAAAAACTTCCTAACTCCCGACTATCAGAGCAATACCCACCTCTACGTCGAAAGCTTCTACTCTGAAGAGGTACCTCTCAACTTCTTTCCATATCCCTTCACTTTCCCGAAAACTGAAGAGTATTCAACCAATTCTTCCATTTGTATTCGTCTATTTTGGGGTTGGCCCGGGTCAAATTCCCAATATTTCAAATTAAACGCTCCGCCGATCTAGTGATTTTCCCACGGTATCGAAAAAAATTCCAGGCTCAAGTGCCCCCGGCTATCAGACCAATACCCACCGACTGTAATGGTCCACCAGATTTACAAGCAAAATGTTATTATTGCGATAAAATTAATTCCATGGAGTGTTCTTACTATTGACGAATACAAATGCAGGAATTGTTTAAATATTCTTTAGTTTTCAAGGAAGTGAAGGGATATGGAAAGAGGTACCTCTTCGCAGAGTAGAAGCTTTTTGACGTAGTAGAAGTGGGTATTGCTCTGATAGCTGTGAGGTAGGTATTGGTCATAAACAGGTGCATTAATTTTATTGCAATATTAAACATTTTGCTTGTGAATCTGGTGGACCATTTACGTGATAGAGGTGGATATTGGTCTGATAGCCGGGGGCACTTGAGCCTGGGAAGTTTTTCGATACCGTGGAAAAATCTGTAGATCGGCGGCGCCTTTGATCTGAAATTTTGGAGATTTGACCCGGGCCAACCCCAAAATTGACGAATACAAATGGATGAATTGGTTAAATACTCTTTAGTTTTCAAGAAAATAGAGGGATATAAAAAAGTGCCATCTCAGGGTAGGAGCCTTTTGAAAATAAATTAATGGAAGGCTTTACGGAAGGGGGTTTACAGTGGAGGTGGGTAGTGGTATGATGGATGTGCTGGAGGGGGGTTTTTACGTGGTAGAGGTGGGTATTGTTCTGATAGCTCTACTAACATGCAACGAGATACTTTGCCTCATTTAAATGTTACATTTTATTGTATTTTGAGTTGAAATATACAATTTTTAGATGCTCTGTTTTCAATGTACATATTTATTTCTAGTGTATGTAGACGTTTCTCAGCTCTCAGGCCCTCTCAAACTTATGATCCTCAGCACAACGGGTGCAAGAAAAAGATTTAAACTAAGAATTTGTCAATACACAGACGCTTGCACTAGTTCCCAAAGCAATTGCCTGCAATATTACACAGGAGTGAGTGGAGTCATTCAAAGTTTCAACTACGACCAAGCATCAATGTTCAATCGTAGTACTCCAGGGTACTTTAATAATTTGAACTACGCTATTTGCATTCGAAGAGAAGCAGGATATTGTTCTATAACTTATACAAACGTACGAAACAGTCAGACAAATCCATTTCAATTGGTGAACGTTTTGCCAAATGGTCAGTCAACAGTACCATCCGGTCAGGCCGGTGTGGATGTACTCAATTGTCCGGATGATTATATTATAATTGACGGTACCCGACTGTGCGGCGATCGGTTTAATGATGGTTCTACTAGTACGAATTTTAGTTTAAATGCTGCAGTAACAGGTACCTACTGAAGGATTTTTTTTTTTTTTTTTAATTATAATTTTTTTAGATACAAGCACTGGGCCTATAGTGATTAATATTAGGACCAATAGCAACGTAACCGGATTAGGGTTTAAGCTGTATTACATGCAGAATGCGTGTACTTAAATAAGTATTGGAAGCCATTATTTATTGTATTTATTTATTGAATTTGTATTTTTAGTATTAAAGGCTTATTTTGAAATAACTATGCCCTGAATATGTTCCAAAATAATTTCATATTTTTTACACATTAGATAAAAAACTCCTTTTACGATGTCTGGGAAATTTGCGTTCCAGAATCGTTTTAGGAAAGTATTTGAAATCAAATATTTACAATAAGAAAATAGGAGAGAAGTGGGTGGGTAACGATTTATGTTTGTGGTAGGTTCTAGGCCGTCTCAGGCGAAATTATTTGTCTATAATAAAAATTTCATAGCGTAGATAATCGCTATGAAGTTTTTATCACCAAGATTGCCTTATAACTACAGTTTTTCTTATTACAATTTCAACTAGAGAATTTTTGTGCAACGATTGTTTGTTTATTGTTATAAAGCTTACTTACGCCCTTACGCCATAATATTGGACCAATAGGAATACTTCTGATCCATCGGACTCGCGGAAAAACGGATGCATGAAAAATAAACATAAATCATAGGGCTGAAAATAACAGGGATAGCCCTGAAACCCACTTTTTGGTTCAAGGATCAAATGTCCCTTAAATTACTGTTTATCCACGTTTCGAGAAAATTAACTGGGCGTGATTGACCTGAATTTTAAATTTTATTCAGTAGGTAGGTTTGGGTTTAGGTTTCTTGTGAGTAGTCCGATGTCGGCCCTTCCACTGCGACCTGTCTATTGTGGCTCACTCCAGGGGCGGATGGGCTCAGGCGGGACACCGGGACGATTCCCGGTGGGCCGGAGAGCCAAGTGGGCCGGTTCAGGAAAAAAAATATATACGATAACAAACAATACGCCGCAACTTGATAGAAAAACATCACTTAAGGCGTAACGCGACAACACTCTGCCAATTCAACAGAAAGCAGTCTTCGTTTTTTGTCGTTTTTCACAAGGCGTTGAGCTGCCATCTCATATTGGAAAATATTTTCATTAAAATTTAAACTTTTTCTGTAAATTTACCCTTTTTCTGTAAATTTATACTTTCTCTGTAAACTTACACTTTTTCTGTTCAATCAGACATTACCGAGGACATTACCAAACTTACCTATAATAACCCGCTAAGTTCGGAATTTTTATCAGATATAATCAAAGTTACCAATAATAAGCCGGTTAGTTTCTGTTAGTTTGCAATTTCAATAAGATATTTCCAAACTTACCAATACTAACCCGGTTAGTTTGGGTTAGTTTGCAATTATAATCAAACATTAAAACTTACTGATAATAATCCGGGTTAGTTTGCACTTTCAATCAGAAATTACCAAACTTACCGATAACAACTCGGTTAGGTTGGGTAAGTTTGCAATTTCAATCGAACATAAGCATTTTGTTTTCAAAATTTGTTTTAGTTTGGAATCCATTGTAATCAAACATTACCAAACTCAAACCTACCGAGAATAACCCGGTTAGTTTGAGTTAGTTTTCAATTTTAATCAGACATTTTTAAACTTACCGATGTTATAACCTGTTTAGGTTAGTTTGGGGGTTAGTTTGCTATTTCAATCAGATATTACCAATAATAACCCGGTTAGTTTGGACATGCTTCAAAATTATTCATTTTCGAAAGAAGTTATTCAAAGTCGTGTTCCAAATGGTTGATTTTTGAAATGAAAGCATTCGGAAAAAAAAAATCGCAATTTTTGTTTTCGAAAAATAAACATAGACCTGTAATGTCTGAATAAAATTGCGAACTAACCCAAATTGCGGTACTTAAATTTGGTAATGTCCGATTAAACAGAAAAAGTGTAAACTTGAACATTAAAATATTTTACAATACCTATCAGCATGGCTCTACGCTTTCGTATTTTTGAGTAATATAAGGAGGTTTTTTTTCTAAAAAAGTAGACTATTTAATACCCTACCCAGCGTTATTCACCTCCTGTGAGCACGCGGGGCCGCTTGAGCAAAAACCGTCCCGGGCCGTTTCAAAGTTGCCCATCCGCCCCTGGCTCACTCCGAGTTTATATTTCCCTCCATCAGTCCAGCCCTTCTTATGAAGGTGGAGATAAGTGTGGGGAAAGCATGTTTTATATATTCGAGTCGAGCAGCTGACTCTCCAAAAACAGCATGCCTGATTCTGGCTATTGCCGGTCACGTGCATAGGACATGTTCTGCACTTTCGTCTTCTTCCATGCATAAGCGACACTCGGCACTTTGTGCTATTCCGATACTGTGCATGTGATAACGGAGTCTGCAGTGTGCAGTGTACAGACCCACCAGTGCTTTGAGGCTCTTCCTCCCCTGGCTCCGGTCCAATGAAGTTAAGCTCGGATCCAGCTTTTGCAAGTTGGTCCGCTTTTTCGTTGTCTTCTTGTCCGGTATGTCCCAGTAGCCAGACTACGGAAACATTAATTTCCCCTAGCTGGGTCAGGGCTTGTTTGCAGTTCCATACTATTTTCGACGTGCAATGTATGGATGCCGATGCTTTCAGCGCATCTTGGCTATCAAAAATAGTAGGTATATTGTGTATTTAGGTGGAAAAGTGACACATTCTTGGCCGACTTTGTAAGTTGACGGGCGAGGAGAGCCGAGGCCGGCAATCGCCGAAGTCCGAGAATGTGCTTTTCCACCGAAATACACATGCTATTTTTTCTGCGATCGGTTAAATATCTGTAAAATGTTTGTCTTTTTGTTCCAATTGTTCAGCAGTACGAGAATCACGGAAAAGTGATTCCCGTATTGTTATTCATTGAATCCTTAGCAACTATTGAAACATAATTAAAATACCAGAATATTGGGTTTTGCGACCAGTCAACGATCGGTCAAAAATGCTGACATTTCTTGTCAATCGCAGAAAAACATTTTTATTGACTTATGGATGCGTTTCTGCCAAGGCTGACTGAAATTCCCAGCCTTGCTTTTTCACCATATACCCCTGCTCCGACACTATGTTTAGTTTGGAAGCCATCTGTGTACAGACAGAGATCTGCCCTCAGTAGCTCGGTCCTATCGCTGGCCCATAGCTCTATGTCGGGAATCATTGATTTTGAAGGGCGAACCAAAGTTGGTTATCTTTGGCATTATGTCAGAAGGCATACTAAGGGTGCCGTGTCAATTTATTTCATCCACAAGCATCGTGTGCTTCTCGCCTCTAAAGTGCTTTTTGAAGCATGGCACAGCTGATAGGTTAATCTCATTGCTTACCTCTTCACGTATATGTGAAGTGTGTTACGATAAATTTATCATTTACGTAACATGTTCGATCTCTTCTTATTTTCATTATAAAGTTTTTTTTTCCATTTCAGAATCAGTAAAATAATAATTCCTAATATTCTAAAAAATATCCACAAAGTTCAAAATAATACAAGTGTTGGTATCTATCCATCATGCGCGTAATATGCAAATATCTTTTATTCATTTACGAGTGCTGCCATCTAGTATCTTTATTTTTGACATAACCTTAATTTAAATTATTATAGGATGTAAACAATTAAAATAATTCTAGTGGATTTTTATCTATTCTCTTTTATTCCACGTGGGTTTTCATTGTGTTTTCATTGTGAAGTGAATATGATCTTTTGGGTGTACTCGTCTGATTGGTTGAACTGGTTAAAATGCAGTTAAGTATAAAAAACACAGGATCGTTTTCCTGTGGGCTTTGGTTTCTAAAACGTTCTCTTTCCTCGACAGAAGTCTGGCAGCCGAGTCCTTTTTACTTTTAATACTTTTTGCTCTTAATTTTTGGATTCTCCCTTATAGATTTTTGATTTGATAAATTTGAACAATTGAATAACAAATCACGGATTATTGGAACCTGAATCGATGCACTTGTAATAAGAAGAAAAACTGTAAAACCTGAATCGATGCACTTGTAATAAGAAGAAAAACTGTAAAAAAGGAAATGTTGCTGGTTGAGTGTCTGTTCTGCTATGCTTTTTGAGACTCGCCAATCTCTTTCTTAAAACTAAAGGAAAAGTAAGAACGGACATCACAGAGGAAACTGTCAGGAAAGACCCAACAGTGAAAAGATTGAAACGCCAATTTATACGTAATGTATTTAGTTGTGGGCGGAGTTCCCGGAGATGAAGTAAGAGAGACCTTTCATCCCTTGCATATAGCGGGGATCAGCCGTTATCCGTGAAAAAAATCAATCAAGAAGGGATAGAAAAGAAATCAGTGTGCGGACGAACACACCTAGGAATGCAATAATCTCATTTAACCGCTAATCTCAAGGAACCACCCGACTCTAAATCCTGCTACCAAGCCTGTGTCAATAAGGTGATACACAGCAGCCTGTCCAATTGATTTCCCCCAACGGACAAGAAAAATCACTTAAACAGAAGTTGAGCAGCTCGTATAAGAGAAAACTTAAGATAACCACATAGCGGAGCGGTGCGCGCGGTAATCAATAAATCAAAAATTCAAGTTTTGATTGTTTTTCGGGAAAGGCAAAGCTTCTCCTGAAGAAAGGCAAACTAGCCCTCAGCCCGTCTCCACAACAGACGACAGCAGTTATAGCAAAACAGACACTCACAACAACATAACCTAAAGAAAAAATTAAATAGAAAAATTGAATATTGAAAGGTAAAAAAAAAATATGAATGTAATTAATGATTTAAACGGTATAATTTAAGACATTTCAATAAGACCAAAAAAAAGTAGGTAATGAAAAGATAAAAGATAAGGTCTTAAGAATATAAAAATATATAAGGGAAGTTAGGGTAAGGTAAGATATGGGTGGGATAGTAAAATTGAGGGATGAGTGAATGACAGTAACATGGTATGAATAAAAAATTCAAATCAATTAAGACACTAAAATAACTTTTGACGACGTCATATACATCCATGAAAAAAGGTACATCGATTAGACAGAGATAAAAGATAACATGTCCAATCAACCATATGCTTGACATACAACAAAATGTCCTAATCGAAAAAGATACAAAGATAAATCATGATGTATACTATTGAAACAAAAGATAAAGATAGAGATAATAGTTAGGTCATGACACTGATTTATTTAATCATTAAATGCTTTAGGAGCCAGAATACTTCACTCGAGACTTTACTTTTAATCATTGAATGCTTTAGGAGCCAGA